TGACCTGTAATATGACCATTCCTAATGTTTATATTATTAGGTAAACCACGTGACCTATATTTATAATAAGGTAAGCTGCAGATGCGCAGTATATGACGCTCTTATATCCATTTTACAGAATTAAATTATCTCATTTAGTTTAAAAATTATATCAATTACCGCACGATTGGAATCACTTGACTGCCCTATTATATTACTATTTATTCATTTGTATCAAGTTTAGTATCAAACAGTGTTATTAATAGTAATCAAGATACTTTTTTTGAGTACTTTCATCCAAGTATTTAATATTTGACATTTTTGGGAATACATTATAGCATTTTCAAAATTCAAATACCGTATTCCAAAATATGGACAATGCTAAGTCTATGGCAATAATAAGTCTATGGCAATAATAAGTCTATGGCAATAATAAGTCTATGACATAGGGATAATACTATGGATCGTATTAAATCTGTAATACTGCTAATCTATTCTTTGAGCATTACCCGAATTGTGGTTAACGCATAGCATTGCGTGTGATCCTTGTTTTCATTAAATAAACCGCGGATAACGGCACAGAACTTTACGGTAATTGATTTAATAATAAATTAAAAATGATAAATAATTTTTTAAGATAAAACAATAGTTAAATACAAAACAATAAATAAAACACAATTAAATTTAATCTGTTTAAAATATAATTAATTAGAATTAGAAAAGTATAAAAATTAATAACTAGTTGATTTAGTTAACGTCTGGCGTCTAAATTGCGTCTTACGTAGTGCCATACAGTCGAATTCCTCACGTTTACTAATTCGAATCGTGGTAAACGAATATTCTCGGGCTCGCGAGGCGGCATTACCACTTGGCGTCCATCGGGTCCGGCGTGAAGGTAGAAACAGTCGTTTCTTAGCCAGCAGTTATCCGGGTTCTCCACGAAGTATTTGCACGGTATGGTCTTCATTGCCTCTTTGTAGCTCTCGATAAGTTCCTGCTTTTCCGACGGGTCGTCGCACCAGTACTCCGACGGTATGACATAATTAGACGGCTTTTTGCAAATAGTGCACACCCTAACGGTCCCTGTGGTTTCATCTAAAGTATCTCGCCACCTCCTGATGCACGTCAGGCAATAAACATGTGAACAGTTCTGTAATATACCGAACATATGTGTAGGGCCCGGCAATTTGTCGAATACGTTATCATGGCAAATAATGCACATTTTGTCCTGCGATTCTATGAAGCCGAATGAGAGCTTCATTTTCCGTTCGTGTTCCCGTACGCACTCGTCCCGATGTTGGGCTCGCTGTTGCTGGTCATCCGGATGCAAACAATAATAGCCACAGAGCTCACACAACAGAGCCTCCGTGCCTTCTATGCTTAGCTCGGCGTTGAACGCTATAAACGCCGCGCGATCTAAATGTACGGATCGACAGTATTCGCCAAACCAACAGTGGCCCAACAAATAGAACCAACAGACGTCCTCCTCTTCTCTAATGCAATATGGTGCGTTCGGGTCGTGCGAGAATAGACACTGTTGGCCGGTACGACATGTACGTCCATCCATTTGAAAGCGGCACAAAATGTTACGGTACGGGCTGGCAGTGGTGGTGACTGTTGGTGGTGTTGGCGGCTGTTCTGATGGCACCGTTGTTTCCTCTGAATTGGTGGCCATCACTTGCTTTCGGTGTGTTTTCTTGCCTCAAATCGTTTGACTTTATTAAAAGCACACAAAAACTAATTACAGTTAATTAATTACAATTGGATTTGAGTATGAAATTGCAAAAAATGCGTTAATGAATCGCTGTGTCACAATAAAACAGATTTATTTTAATATATAGTCGTTTTATTATCAGTGAACTGATTACATACCTAAGGAGATGAACGACAAACTGTTAACAAGAATTTTCTGGCAAATTCTGGAAACCTTTTGCGCCAAATATTAAATATATTAATTCTGACACAAAACCCAACAAATGAATGCAGTTTGAAATGTGATCCTTGTTTGACATTAAACACTGTGTTTATATTAAAATACATGTATAGTTAGACAAAACTATTTAATTCGACTGGTCATCGCTTGACCACATTTGATCTTATTGTCCCTGTTTTCAGAAATATAAAATATATTCCCGGAATATATGTCAACCTTTGTATAGTATCGCTGATTGTTGTCTCGCGACTCAACACAACACGAGATACACAACAAATACTGTGCGAAGACGACGAATGACGACACCGACGACCGCATCACTCATTCACCGCAAAAACTTCTCGAACGAAATAAACGCACATTTGAATGAAAAAAGGCCTCAAAAATTAATATTGCATAAAATCCCAGGTAATGGTACAAAATGGTCAAATATGTTTATGCCATAACTCTTGGTCCACACATGTATTATTGATCGACAAATAAAATCAATTTAAAAGATGGTCATTGTTTCCTATTTATTCACTAAAAAAGTAAATTAAAAATAAACTCCAATTTATTGTTAAAACTAATAAATTACTGACAAAATAATAATAACTTGAGTTTAAATTAAATTAAAAACTAATCGCATATTGTTTTTAAAGACAATTGTGTTTATTATAACTAATTATAATTTATTAACCAATCATTTAGTAGTCGTATTAACCATTTTCTGTATTTTAGCCATCAATTCATTCACACGTATATCCGCTATAGTCTTGAACACACTCTTCACCGATCGGTTCCAGAGAATCTTCGGCTCTAATGACTGCAAACAGAGAACATAATCGTATCATTAAAACAACAGATCCAGAGTTAGTGGCCATCGACTCAATGGTCGGGCAAAGAAAGAGATAATCACATGAAGACTGGTTGGCCTCCATTGGGAGACATCAACGCCGGTCTGTTTGACGACAAACTTCTCCGCCTTCTGGCCATAAGCGGACACAACGGCTAACTTGTCTTTGATCTGCTTATGGCTTAACTCTGACCACAATCTCTGCTCAACACTCAAATACGTGACGCCAAGAGCTGTTCCGTACCTATCGATAGACGGGTTAATACTGAGGCCAACAACGGGTGATCAGAGGGGCGGGCCGTACGGCCAGTGGCCACACCTATATACACATGTACTCACTTGAGTGTCCTCTTAATTATGGCCATAACTGTTGTGTCCGACGGAAACCAGTGGTTAAATGCACCGCAAAATTATAACTGCTTTTTCAAAATATAAACATTGATTTCGAGTACAAAATACGGCTATTTTTGTGGATTATTTCGTACGGAATAGCATTGGTTTTGTCTACAAATCATTGCCAACACCTGTACTCCCAGTGTATTACAGTATACATTGAGTTATACAGTGTTTGTGTGTGACCTTCAATAGTGTCCTCACTTTTAAATCCAGTTTTTTTTGTGATTTTTGTATTCAAATCATTGTTTAATATTTTAATGCTTAATATTTGTCTGAAATTTGTATTGATTTTTATATATTTTATAAATTAAATTAATTTCTAATTCAAATTTGGCTCAAAATTGAAGTAGTTTTTGCTTTTTGGCCAATAGTAGCACTCAATGAGCCCAACATTTCATCAATAATAACGTATTTAGGGTTTTATTTAGACCTTAATTCAAAATCCGTTGAATTCAAGCTTTAAAATAGATATTTGAAACAATTGGGGGCTAAAAATATTTGACAATATAATGACACGTATTGTATGTATAGCCCAATAGACTGATCGCAGCGATTGGTCGGCAAAAAAAGTTTTTCACACAAAAATGGACTCAAAAGCTGTGCTATTCATAAATTACAACAATTATTACATCAATGAAAAATCAAACATTTTATTACTGATTGCTATAAATGGCAAACAATTGATTTGGTTTTAAATGTAACCTTTTAGTCAAACTAAGCGTTCAATGCGTGCCTTAAGCCAAAAATTAATCGCAAAATTAATACACAAATACTATAATAACAGTGAAGAGTGTGTGGAAAGGGGTTTAGCGATGGAAACACACAAAAGGTGTGTCGCTATGGGAGACGCGAACGTCATTTATGGCACAAAAAATGGTGCGAAAGGCGTTGCGAGCGCTGCGAACGCACCGCACGTATTGGGCTAACGAGTCGGTCGGCGTTTGAGTGACTGTTGGCGCCGTTCGAGTCGTACACAACGGGCACAGCGTTCGTACGGTAGGTATCGGCGGCGAAACGCACGCATCCATTCACTCACTTGTTGTGTGTGTGACTCTCCCTAACCCTCACACGTGTTGAGTGAATGAGGAGAGTGTTTGTGAGTTTGTGTGTAGGCATAGGGAGTGCATAGACTCACTCACTCTCTCTCTCTCGCACACAGTGTGTGAGTCTCTCTCACTCTCGCTATCACTCTCTCCATACGATTTGCATTACTCTGTGATTCACACGCTTTGCGTTATTCACGACTCGCGACGAAACACAACAACAATTTACACATCATTTATAAGACATTTAATTAATTCATTCAAACGTTTAGTAATTATTATTATAAATAAATCGCTATTTTATTCAACCATTTAATTAAACGCCAAATATTTATAATTATATTTTCACCGATAGTTTCAATTCAATCGACAATTTATTTATTATAATAACAATACAAATCTCGACGTCTTTTTTATAATTAGTTATTATTTTTTTGTAATAATTAAATTATTACTTAATAATAGTTATAATAATTAGTTAAATGTGTGAATGATTTAGCCGTAAATCTAAAGCACTTTTTTTGTAATAATAAACACGTTTTGTGTGTTAAGTGCGAGACATATATAACACCCCAATTGTATCGTGTATTTCATTTGTGTATTTCATTTTCATTATAATTTGTTTTTATATATCAATTAATAATTAGTTTTGTAATAATTTAGTGCGAATTCTGTCTCAAAGCGTTGTTTTAAATGCAAGTATCGTTGAAAAGGTATGTAATTATCATTTAGTGGTTAAGAAATACAATGCGTTTCCCAATACGTTATCACGTGTTTGTCTGTTAGCCCTCTCTCTCCCTCTCATTGCCACCACTTTTTGTGGCCATTGTTTTTGCCTCACAATTAGTTACATGTCTTTTAGTTAGTATCGATGAATGTCTTAATGCGGTAACCAATGGATTGGATTGAATGCGGACAATGAGGTGGAGGTAGTGGTGGATGTGATGAATTACTTGCCCTCTCATATGTTTGGTCACTGTTCACAACGTGTGACCATTCATTGATTGATACATTTTACGCTCTGATCCACCACTCGATGATCATAACAAGCACTTCATTGTTCAACGCATCCAATCGGTTGGGCGTATATGACTTCGTGCGGACCAATACGTGGCCCGCGTTTAATATACGCTAACATTTGTCTCATTTTTGACCATAACTTATGTTATTTTGATTTCTCTCTCGATATGATCGGACGGTTAGAGTTGTTTCGTTGGCCTAAAGATCGCTAAAGAAATTGGTTGTCGTCATAGAAGATGGTGAGCGGAATGGACGCCAATAATTCCGCTAACAATGATGGACTGAATACGGACGCCGTGAGCGCGCCGTCGCCCCAATCGGTGGGCCGGGAGTTTGTGCGCCAGTACTACACCATTCTCAATATGAAGCCTAATCTGTTGCACAGGTATGTGTCTGTCCATCGGTTCCCGGAATCGATAGGTGTGCCCAACCCGTGTGTAGTGGTAGTGTGTGGTTTGTGTGTGCGCTCTATTGGCAGCCATTTTGTCTTTAATGGTAGCGGTAGTGATTTTGTAGTTTTGAATCTTAAGTGTGACAGTAGTTAATGGTATTGTTGCGGATAATTATCACTCTTGATGTCCGTTACCATCATTTATAGACAATTTTTGCTGTTTGTATTCAAATAAGTTGTTTGTGATAATAATGTATATCTTATTATTTCGAATCAGATTCTATTCGGAGGACTCATACTTCGTGAACGGGGCTCTCGACCGGCCGGGAGAGGTATCGGTGCCCGTCTTCGGTCAGGAGAACATCAATAAGAAGATAATGTCGCTTAACTTCAAGGACTGTCACGCGAAGATCAGACAAGTGGACGCCATGGAGACCATTGGCAAAGGTGTTGTCATTCAGGTAACGAATCCCATAGCCTCACCATTACGTGAACGTATGTTTAATGTTGTTTCTGGATCTGTTGAATGCTTACCATAGGTGTCCGGCGAGCTGTCCAATGACGGCCAACCGATGCGCAAGTTCTTGCAGACGTTTGTATTGGCGCCGCAATCGTCCACAAAGTATTACGTGAAGAACGAT